GGGCATAGAATTAACATCAATATAACTTTTAAATTGTTGTATAATAAGTCTCAAAGATGAATTCTGAGGTTTGTAGAAGTTTTGCCTACTTGTAAATTTAAACTTCATTTTACGTTCTTGATTTGTCTACTTAATTTCGTACCGAGGATAACTTGTCTAATGTGGATTAAAACCTTGACGCGATAGGTTGACTGACTTAACTTTGAGGCTAGTATGCGAGAGTTCAAAGTGGGATAGAAAGGCATGCACGAGAGAGAAGAAAAGACAACTGGAACACTAATCGCTTCATTCCAAATTCCGATCTGGTACCCGATTTCACATTAGTGTAAAAAGATACATGAATAAATAGATACATGGCTAACCCGACCATAACGTACAATAACTAGGAAAATACAATTATATCCCATACTGGGAGATTAGAGTAGAAAATAGAGTATAAAAGGTTACGTCTAAATTACGATAGCTTTAGAACAGAAAAGCCTATGACACTGAATCATACATCAAACGAAAGCTTATGATCTGTAGAATAGACCAGGGACAAAAGTAACTGTTACTGTTATACAAGCTTTGAATTTAAATGAAATAACCTCCTCAAAGATAGCTTCCGTAGTTTGTCCAGTCTTCTTGTTTCGCTGTTCACAACACTTACCCTTATGTGAATAGAAACAATTTATTGTAGCCTTAAATTTACCTTGATAATTCTTATAGATTTTACGACCTAAGATGATGAGACAGTTTCCTATTCTCTCTCCACTGTGTTAATTTTCTCTTTCCTTTATTTACAATTATCACTTTTATAGTTGAAATCATGACTCAATTGAAGCTAGACCACCATGGAAAACCTGGAAGTACTGAGCGGACGTTTCGTCCTATTGTAGGACTCCTCAGCAGTGCGCATCCACCATCCCGCCTCGTGAGATTCGAACCCAGGATATATCAGTCTCGCTCCACTAGACCACTGAGCCGGCATCCTGCAGTTCTAGTGAGAAGCAGTAACCAGTGTAGATGGCGGGTAAGCTAACTCGCTTTAATCAAGCGTTAATCAATATTTATAGTGAGATAAAAATAAATGACCGATATATAATAAATAGGATAAAAAGTGTACACAAACATACGCTCATATGAAAACAATCATGGTTGATAGGTGAATAGTTAACAAGGTTAAAACGGGACTTATGATAGATAGGTAAATTGGCTTTTCCAGAAACTAGAATAAGGGTATATGGGCTTAAACATATTAACCGACACTATAAATTCTTTATTTATCGATGATTTATCAAAATTAGATGGGACGGAAAAAAACAGTAATTCCAACTGGTTAGCGTTTTTTAGCGAGTTAGTTTTCTACGAAATGGGGTCGGTAAACCTATGCCCAACCCTCCTCATTTACCCGCGCTTTGGACCGGCAGTAGCCCCCAGAGGAGCTACAGGCGGAGAATATCATAATTATAAGATAAAAAAACTGAACTATTCAAAAATTTGCACTCCTCCTGTAGCTCCTCCGGGAGCTACTGCCGATCTCAAGCCCAGATAAAAGAGGAGGATCGGGCATAGGTTTACCGACTCCATCCTTTAGAAAACTAACTCGCTAAAAAATGCTCTAACCAGAAAAAAATTATTCAAACCATTATTCATTCAGAACTTTGATGTATTAATCTATATTGACATTAAATGATAGAAAGAACAATAAAAATGCAAATTCAATATAGTACAATTATGATACAACTGACTAATAACAATATTTGACCATATAAGTCAATATTATTTTGTTACATAAGTACTGTTTAATAATACTAATAATAATATAGTTGATCAAAAGATGCTCATGTCAAGTAAACACTTCGTTTGTAAAGTAACAACAAATCACGTGAATACTGAATAATCATAGTCAAAATAAAAGAAGAAAGTTTATTGTACAAATTGATGTCAAAATTTTATGTGACAAGTTATTCTCTTTCGTTTGTTGACTCGTTTCTTATTTTACTCTTAGCAGCCTCTGTATCAATAAGCCTCAATATACACAAAGAAAAAGCAAGATCCTCAAATACAACACGGAGAACACCAACCCAACCACACTTGATGGAGAAACTCTGGAAGAGGTGGAAACATTCACGTACCTGTTTAGCAGTATCGTTGATAAACAAGGAGGATCGGATGAAGATGTAAAGGCGAGGATTGGCAAATCAAGGACAGCATTTCTACAATTGAGGAATATATGGAACTCAAAACAACTGTCCACTAACTTCAAAGTGAGAATCTTCAATACGAACGTCAAGACAGTCCTACTGTATGAAGCCGAAAAGTGGAGAACTACCACATCTATAGTCAAAAAGATACAAGTATTTATAAACAGTTGTCTACGCAAAATACTCAACATTCACTGACCGGATACTATCAACAACAGCTTTCTGTGGGAGAGGACAAATCAGCCTCCAGCTGAAGAGGAAATGAGGAAAAGATGTTGGAGGTGGGTCGGACATACATTAAGGAAATCACAAATGTGAACTACAAGGCAATCGCTAACTTGGAATCCGGAAGGGAAGAGGAAAAGAGGAAGGACAAAGAACACATTACACCAGGAAATAGAAGCAGATATGAAAAGGATGAATAACAACTGGAAAGAACTGTAAAGGAAGGCTCAGGAGAGAGTTGGATGGAGAATGCTGTTGAGCGGCCTATGCTCCTCGACGAGGGGTAATAGGCGTAAGTAAGTAAGTAAGTATGGTTAATAATTGCATAATCTATTGAGGTACATTTCTGCAAAGTGTACGACCTTTCGTTGTACAACTTACAAAAGCCCAAATCAGAGATATCGTGGTTGCTAGAAATATACAAAAGAAATAATGTAAATTGTTCATATGTGAGTTTCTGAACTGTCATTATCATTATCAAAATAAAATTAACCCCTGAGTGAGTGTCCTGTTAAAGTTTCTATTATTTAATATTACGAGGAGTCCTACAATAGGACGAAACAGCCGTCCAGTGCTTTTAGGTTTTCTACGGTGGTCTAGTTTCAATTGACTCATGATTTCAACTATATAAAAAAATACTACAAATCTCCACAACCCCTCCTCCCATATATTTGATATGTGTTATATCCCGAAGAGAATTATGAATGGTAACTTTTGAGGACTATTTATGGACCAAAATGATATGTATATTTCCTATTGTATAATTGTTAAGTAACTAAACTATCCATACTCGTGTCCCTATTATTATAAGCTTCATTTTGACCTATAGACTATTATTATACAATTTACCATTCTTGAGTTATCCCTAGTCTATTGATTACTGTTCCCCCTATTCACAGCCACATTTGACCAAATATTGTACAAATGTTATTTTCTATTTTAAGGTATTATGTGGTCAGTTTGTTTGGTATATAAACTCAGTATGATTGTGAATAATGATTTATAATGCAAATGCTGTTATTTATAGTCTGGACTAAACTGGCTGGGCTAGGCAGATAGCAGGACTGATAAGTACTCAAGACTGCTTATACGGCTTTTGTGTATCACATTGCTTTGATCGATAATTCACTTCTTTCTGATTGGCGGGGATCATCACATCATACACAAAAACAGGGCAAGCACTCACTCAATATAACAATATGCTTTAGAAAAAAGGCCATAACAACACTATTCGGTTAATAACATACACTAATTAAGCAATTTGAATAAATAACTAAACATAAAATGTAATTACAATAGTACTAATGAATAATCTAGAACGATACTATCAGTCGACTGAAGTGAAAAACTTTGGATACTAAATAGCTAGTCTAAAGATAATTTGGTTCTGTGTATGGTTGAGAGTACCAATTAATAAGAATTTTAATGTTAGTGTGATGTGTGCTACTAAAGTAGACAGATATAAGTAGTATGTATCATCAATGAAAAGTTAAAACGTCTGACGGTAGAAAGTTTAAAAAAAAAATCAAAGAAAATAGAATGACAACAGTGAAAGATTTCTATGGAAGTGAAGGAACAGTGAAATCTGAGATGATTGATTAACATTCTGCAAATGAAATATTTACTGTATGATTCGGTAATTTTATATTCAAACACATTCGATCATCCCCACTTCTGTTCTCATTCACTATACTAGGACAAAATGGTTTTCTAGTTCCTTCAATTTTTTTTAAAAATAAAAGTTAAACTGATGTTAGTCCCTAGTTCAAACCTAATTCGGTGAGGATATTTTGAATACTGTAACATTAAGTTAATTAAACAAATGCATCATAAATATAGTAATAAATATCAGAAGAGGATTTTTTTTTTGTACAGATTTCAGTATTTTCATCATTGAAATCATGAGTCAATTGAAGCTAGACCATAAGGGAAAACTTGGAAGGACGAAACAGCCGTCCAGTGCTTCCAAGTTTTCCCTGGTGATCTAGCTTCAATGGGCTCACGCTTTCAACGAGATAAAAGTAAAATCCCATTTAAAAATTTCTTTTACATTTAATAGTTATTGACCAGCAAATAAAAACGACTATCAAAGTTGATGTGAAGATTCAAACAAACAATACTAAATGAATTTAAACTTCATCCCATTGCACAAGCAAGTAGCTATCAGGACTCAGTGACCGAGTGGATAACGCGATGGCGTTTGAAGCGAAAGTTACAGGGTTCGAATCCCAGAGTGAACATCAACTCTGAGATGCAGGTACATCCAGCTGAAGAGTCCAAAATAGGATGAAACGCGCATCCTGGATTCCACTGCTAGCCACTATCCATCTTTGCTTACCATGCTTGTGAATTTAGGCTATATCGAGGCAATACGCACAGTATGCACATATGCCAATTAGAGACGGACCAGTTGCAGTCTTAACACATCGATGGGAAGATTTAAACAAACAATACTAAATGAATTTAGACTATCAAAATCATTTTGAAATAAACGATACAAGATAAAAAAAATTGGTTCCACGGAGACATTAAAAAAAAATTTTATTATTTTTTTTCAAAAAAAAAAAACCCCGGAGCTTTGAAACTTACTTCCACATTGAGTTTTTTCTGCATTATATTCATAAATAAACAAACTGGAAAATATTATTATCCATATAGTCATTTTCATATTTATATATTTAATATTGAAAAAAACAAAAAAACAAAAAAATAGAATCTTAATGAAGACTCTGAATCACTAGTCTCACCATATCAAATTTATTTTTATAGTATTAGTTGACCAATCAGATTTGTCATTTCATAAAGTCATTTGATTGGTTTATATTTTATTCAAATAAAATAATGCGCAATTTATGAATCAATAATCAATAAAATTAATTAAAAATTTTTTTTTTTACATTTTAAAAGAAAAAAAAACTATTCCATGTATGATTGATTATGTTTGTTTGTTTGTTTGTTTTTTAAATAAAAAAATTTTAGTCATGGATCATTATGTGAATATGTATCATCATCAATGATAAACTTTTAATATTATAAATAGTTGTCATGTGAATAGAATTTTAAAGGAATGACGTACTCAAAAAGTAGATATCTGTTTATAATGTTAATGATTATCCGTATATATATATATATATGTATATTTGAGAATGTAATACAGTACATTTGATTGAAGTTGATATTATAAACAATAACAATATTGATCAGAAGGGGTTTTGTTTTTGTGTGGAGATTTTCTAGTGCCATGCTTCGTTAATCGTTCACTTCGATAATCGTATAATTCTAATCTTAATGATGTATAAAATCAGAAGACAAAGGAAAGTAGCAACTACAGTTTACTGTCGAATAATTCAGGTCAGAAAGCTAACAACACCTGAGCGAATATCAACGAGCGAGCGAGTGAACAAGCGAAGGAGCAAGCAATCACATAGGTAATTTATAGTCAAATTGAATAAAGGCACATCAAAACAAAACAAAGGTTGATAATAGTAATTGCGTGAATACATATATGGGGAGGAGTATGAATCATCGAATGATATTTATGCAGTCAACATTTTGGATAGTGTCCTGTGCTCTAGTGGTCACAACAGTACAAATAATATGCAAACTGTTACTATCCAAATGACGATGTCTGTTAAATAAGTTAATAAAAAGGGCTTAACCAAAATTGACCACAATCGAAATTGATTGTAGGATGGTTGCTATAATTTGATATTTTCATAGTTAAAAGCGTTAGTCAATTGAAGCTAGACCACCAGGGAAATCCTAGAAGCACTGGACGGCAGATTCGTCTTATTATGGGACTCCTCAGCAGTGAGCATTCACGATCCCGCACTCGCGAGATTCGAACCCAGGACGTACCAGTCACGCGCCAGAGCACTTAGCGAATAGACCACTGAACCGACATCCATTGGTATTAATGTCTAACTCCAACCAATCCACGAAGTTGAGCAAGCGTTCATCAATTGTCCTCATTGAGTTGTTATCCCACAACAGATGTGGTTTGAACTCTACTGGTCACTGCGCACTGCTTAGGAGTCCCACAATAGGACGAAACGGCCGTTCATTGCTTCCAGATTTTCTCTCGTGGTCTAGCTTCAATTGACTCACACTTTCAACCATGAAAATAACAATATTGGTAAAATAATGAAACATCTACTGACAAATTAGTCTTATTATCAATTAGTCTATCAACGCTGAAGTGAAGTCTTATTTAATTTCGTTTTCAGTTTGACGAGGATACGAGTCTAGGTGGTTTGTGTTAGTTCTGGCAGTGGTTGATTCAAATTTCTTTTGAAAGAGTCGACAGACGAAGCTTCAATCACGTGTTGAGGTAATGAATTTCATTCGTTGGTGATTCGATGGAAAATTCAATAGTCAGCCGGCATCTAAGTTGTCCTGGGCTTTTGAACTTTTTTAGAGCGCCCTCGTAAATCCTCTGTTTTGGAAGACACGAAAACGTGAGGGCAGATTTATCACTATGTATTTTGAAAACTGTGATCAAGTCTTCTCTACTTCTTCCATATGACAACGGGAATAAATTTAGCTTTGCCAGTCTAGCATCATACGGGAGCTTCGATATTCCACGAATCAGTTTAGTTTCTGTTCTCTGAACCTTTTTCAAAAGCTCACTAACTTTTCTTAAGCAAAGGCTAGACGCCTGTATGCAGTACTCAAGTTTAGGACGCACGAACACTGTATACAAAATCAGAAACATTTTAGCCTCGAAATGGCTAAAGGCCATACGTATTGACCATAGGGCTCTAAAACCTTTGCGGCTGTTGCACCGCAGTGTACAGTAGTCTTTAAGTCTTGACTAACGATGACTCCTAAGTTATGGCGTGTCTGAACAACAGGTAGCTCACTGTTATTCATCGTATATGTATATGTACTTTGATGACCAATATGCATCATAATGCACCTGGAAGTATTTAATAAATTGTTTATAAATTAAAGTCTATCAGTTGAATACTAATGTATATTACTGTTATATCGATTGGCTGTGTGCGCACCCTGTTTGATATATGAGTGTGCTGATTCCCGCCAATAAGAGAAAAGCGAACTATCGATCGGAGCAATGATACACAATGTTCCACAGGATATAACAATTACCGATAGATGACGTTATGAAAATGATGCTTATTCAATTAGTTTTCTTGGTTCATTCTACAAACTATTGTTTTGATCATTCATATAAGCCCAGGTAACTTCATTACATCATAGTGTATAGCTGATGTCTTTCATATACATTAAAAGTAGGATTTAATATTTTTAAACCTTGACTCATTCAATGAAATGAATATAATGACTTTCTTTATAAGTAGTATTTGACATACTTCGATACAAACCAAGTTTATCAATCTTCAGTTAGTCATCTACCTTTATTAGGTACATTTTCTTGGTACAACGTCATTTATGTCTCATGATCGTCACTTAAAAAACAAACAAACACCCAGATGATAGTCTTTATTTAATTTTTTAGTTTTCAGATGTATATCTTGTATAATACAGACAACTCTAAGACTGAAGATATCTCTTGACAACAAGAATCAGCTGTCATTAAACTAGACATCCAAAACTTTCTGTTGATTGGAGACATTCATGTAACATCAGAATACAGTACAGAAAATGTTGAATCGTGTGGACTAGTGTCCAACTTTCAACCTGACTGATGAATTTTTTTCATTACTAAAGAGTAGACAATTATGATATAGAAGTGAATCCCATGGCGACATTGTAAAATTCAATAAAAATAGTTTTCGCTTATACAAAAATGTAAAGAATTATTTTAGTTGTCGTAGTGCATAACACTGATTTCAGAATGGTATATATTAGATAAGACCTGAATTTTCATTTACCGGATTTCATATGAGGAAAACCTTGTTCACACATGTCATGACACATGGAAACTAACTGGGACTATTATTCCATTACTGAACCGTACCACTCCAAATGTTATCCTTATCACTTGTAACTCCGGCAGAAGTCAACACACTTCTAAAACTTTCAAGAGAAAGCTAGGAAAATTAAAGCATCGCTATCAAAAGCAGTATGGCAGTGAACAGAACACGAGTGGGGACAATCGAATGTAGCTAAGCACAAATTCCAGACTATCTCACTAAATTCTGATAACCATACAGTAAACAGTTAATTTACAAACTATCAATCAATTGTCTCAATCCTAACTGTTCCTTCCGTAAATATCAATCCGTCCTCTCTTATTTCATTGTTCATGCATTTTCATACCGATTGCGCCTCATTCCTGTTCGTTCCTTATCGATCTTCTGCCAAAATACATTCTATGTCTGAGCATCACCATATACTACTTATATGGATATAAGTAGACCACACCACAATATGATTTATTAAGCGAAGATATCACTTTTACAACTTTTAAGACTAGAAAAAAGTAAGATTAATACAATGTAATACGTTTGAACTTGTCATTCAAATTGTTATCAGCTACTAAATCAGTCAGTTCTAATTAAAGAATTACTATTAGATTTTTATTATTGCTAAATTAGGATAGACCAGTCAGATGATTGAAATTAAATTAAATTACTTTGATATCAGCCCCGAAATGCCCTGGTACGGTCGAGAGTGGAGAGAGTCCGCTCTCCTACACGAAATGCTCTCACATGGTCACGCGTATATTGCCTCTGCGAGGGAAGTCATACTCAATGCCTTCTCGTGGCATCACTATTGTTTACGAAATTGAGAGGACGAAAACCGAATGTCTGGCACTTTAACCGGGTTGGTGGACATTGAAAGTTCACCTAGGGGAGTTCGAAAACCTTGAATCCATCCAATAGTGCACATGGGTTCCAGGATCCTGATGGAACAAATGGCGTATGAATCAATTGTTGGTCACCGAGTATCATAGAACTGCATCTCCTTACGATGCTCCACTACCTTGTGAATCAGACCTTTTGGTCAAAGGCTCCGGGTGTGGCCTTTTGAAAAAACCACCTGCTTCAGTCTGGGCACATGGGCAGTATCACTGCCCTCACACAAATCAAATGAGATTTGTGCGGCGCATATTTATCTGGTGTCTCTTTGTACCAATATTTATGTGTTCAAATAAATTAATATAAATAATAAACTTTGATATCTTTATTCTTCAGAGTTGAAATCTTTAGCCTATTCCAGTGAACTATTCCAAATAAACTTTAGCTGATTTCATTAATTCTCTTTGTATACATCAAATCTAGTTTACTGGAAAAAAGAAACTGTGAATATTGACTAAGTTTTCTGAATGCGTCATAGAAATTTCGATTCTTCCTTTTTTTAATGTATTCGTGGAAAAAGCTTATTTTCCATGAAGCAAACAGTTCAGTCGTTTACCGTGGAAAGATCAGGCGCCAAATAAGTTGACTAGAATCAACTCAAGTTAGTTTTCAAGTTTCATTTATGTTGAAAATTAATTTGTGGGCATGCTTTTTCCAATTTTGAAACTAAAATACTCTTAAGGTAACAGGTAACTATTTGATAACTAATCCATGTCAGGTAGCGACAGGTATCTACTTCAGTACAATGGAAGATGGTCGCGAAATTTTGCGGATTGGTTGAGGTTAGACATTAACACCGTTGGATGCCGGCCAGCTTGGTGGTCTATCTGTTAAGTGTTCTGGCGCGAGACTGGTAGGTCCTGTGTTCGAACCTCGTGAGGCGGGATCATGGATGCGCACTGCCAAGGAATCCTGTACTAGGACGAAACGGCCATCCAGTGCTTCCAGGTT